CCCCCCCCCCCCCCCAAGTTTAGTCCATTTTGACACAACCCAGCTTAGCCCAAGTAATTTTTGGACGGGCCATTGACCAGCCCAATCATTTACTTGATATATTTTGACTCGCCCAAAATTAACCCAATTCACTTATTAGACTCCCCTACTATGCTATAAAGGACTGCCATTAATTCTAGAGAATTTTACTTTCTATAGCAAAGGTATACTCTATTAATATTAGAAATTGTAGGAGAAGACTAGAAGCAGAAGTTGCTACTGATAAGTTGGGGCTATTTATGTCCAACTCTCAGATTTCTATATTTTTGTACATAACTCCATTTGGTAATGAAATTATTTTAATTACCAAAAAAAAAAAAAAAGTAAAAAAATACACAGTCAAGGGTAAGTGAAAATCCCAACTTTATTTTAAAATCAAACTCCCCTCAACTTTGAACAACACATATTCTCCCCATCATTTCTCAGTTGACTTTTTAAAATATCTATTTTCCCTTTATATTATCACCATTTATCTCTTTTTCTTTTAATACATAATATTTTTTTCTTTTCAAAAATATAATTTTCTTAAAAAACTATCTAATAACTAAATCTCATTTTCAAAATTAAAAATTAAAATAGTAACCAAGCATATAACTTGATTTTGAATAGTAAAACTGATGAGTAGAATAAAAAGATTAAAAATAGTGGGAACTTTATATACTCAATACAAGTAATAAAAAAATTAGTTATTAAAACAAAAGTAGAGTTTATAATAAAGTTTTGAAAGATTATCTATTTATATTTTAATTAAATTTATATTATATATTTAAAAAATATTTCATAGTGACAATCAAACTAATATATATATATATATATATATATATATATATATATATATATATTTTATATTATATATATATATATATATATATATACATGTATATAATAGAGAAAAAAGTGCAGGGGTGTAGCTACATGAGGTAAGAGGGTTCAATTTAACCCCTTCACTAGAAAATTAGAATGCACAAATAGGGCAAAAATAAGCTTTATAGTTATATATAAATTATTGAATATCCTTGACATAAAAAATATATTATAATATAGTGATAAAGGGGAATCAAAAATTATTGTATGTCACAAGTTTAAATCTTAGATATGATATTTTAGTTTTAAAAAAAGTGTACGAACGTTTGGCTCAACCACCGAAAAAATATAACTTAAACTTGTACTTAATGCATGTTTTATAAAAGTAACGTCGGATTTGGTAACAAATTCTACAAAAGAAATATTTTATTTATTATTTTCATAAACTCAAATTATAATTTTAATAAGGTATAACATAATTTAAATTATGGGTAAAATCATAAGAAATTATCATATATAATAAAATATAATTACATAGAGAAGGAAATTAAAAATGGCAAGGGCAAACCAGGCATTGTGTAGGATAAAAGGGGGGGGGGGGGGGGTAGGAGGGAGAATGTCAATTATTTATAGTTGGAGGGGAAGTTTAATTTTTAAAGCAAAGTTGGGGGTATAAATAATTTTTGACAAAGAGCTCTGATCAATATTTTATTTCAATTAGAAGATAATTTACACGTGTTTCACTGCCTCAAAACAAAACATCATCCTAAACACTTTGTATAATGAATTTTATTTAAAACTGCATTTGGGAGAAATGTAAATATTTATTTACTGGTTTTGCTTGTACAGCTGAGATATTGACATTAATCTTCATTCCATATAATTAAATTTTTCCAAATCACCTTCTTTCAAACCAAAGGTAGAATTGAAAAGAAAACAAGAGAGCAGTCGCCTAAACATAATCAATTTCTTTTCTTTATTATTTGCATATAAATAAAAGAGTACAAGGGTCTAATCTTGAAGTATTTGATTAAAAAAGAGTTAATTCAAGGATTTGGTCTGATCTGGTCCTATCTGTATTAGGTAAATCTGTGACTAAAAGAACGGAGGTTGGACTTTTGTTGATTAGTAGTAATATACTATTAATGAAGCTAAACAGATGATGACATAGAGAAGCTTTGTAGTGGTTGGACATAAAAGATGACCTCATTCTGATTGGATTTAGATGATGTAAGTGGTACTGCAAGTAATTCATAGGTAGCATATTAAGACACTTTTTAGTTGGAATTCTTTCACTCTTAAAAGATAATTGCAATTCGTAAATCGACCAATAACTTTGTAGGTTTTAAGTAAAAATTCGGTATGAAGTTCCTTAAGATAAAAAGAGAACACAATATAGGTATATTTTGAGCTTGTTTGGCCAAGTTGCAAAAATCAACTTATTTTGAGAAGTGTTTTTTTTTAAAAGTACTTTTGGTGAGAAGCAGTTTGTGTTTGGCTAATTAATTTGAAAAGCACTTCTTAGCAGCAATAGTGTTTGGCCAAGCTTTTAGAAATTGTTTCTAAGTGTATTTTTCTCAAAAGTACTTTTCAAAAAGATACTTTTGGAGAGAAGCTACTTTTTTGCGTCTGTTTCTTCTCAAAAGCACTTTTTTCTTCCAAACACTTCAACTTTGAAATAAAATACTTTTTTTTAAAAAAAAAAGTGCTTCTAGGATTGGAGAAACTTGGCCAAACAAGCTATATATCTATATCTATACTATATTAAAAGCACGAAGGCCCTCAGCGAAATGTCGTTCGTCGTTTTTACCCTTTTAAAATAGACTTCACACTAGACAAAATAGTCATTTGATTATTCTTCTAGCTAATATTTTGGAGTTTGAAATTAAATAAGATTTATTACTTATTATATCTTTTCTTATTTGAATTAAGTTAGAGGTCTTTA